CAATTGCTTTACTCCGAATTGCCGCTATTTGAAAGTGAAAGTAAAATGCGCACGCTGCTTTTACAAGCTATTTAAAAGCGAAGGAAAGTGAGGAAAAGAGGGAACGCCGCCGCGGTGATACCGGTATTACCGGTGTTGTCACACATCGATTAACCGGTGGGAAAATTTCCTCACCGTCACAACCGTACTGTTAAAGGCTGTCACAACAGCTACAGAAAGCTCAAAAAGTTTCTCGATCAAGAGTGTTATGAACACAAGCCAACAATAAGAGAAAATCAGAATATGTTGTTTACTTTGTTATTATTGCACATTGCATCACCATTAGCACTTTTTTAGAGCTCAACGATTTTGTTATAACTGAAGTGGATAATTGGTTAAATATTGCTGTAAAAATACGCCTTTACATTGAATCACGCAGCACATGCAGACAATTTGAATGCATGTGCTATACGTTTAGCCACACTAGCAGTGTTGCTCTATTTATAAATACCCACCTTCCACAGCACAGCAGCAGCATGGCTACAAGACCTGCCAGGGCCAGCTACGCAGGAGCATCCAGCTGTTTTACACTGTTTTGTAACATAACCAACGTGATGTGATTGGGTTTATTTATAGCCTGACCCTGCTCTACCTCTGCTTTCAGTAATGCGAACTGCTGATGTTTATGACAAAGAATTTCTCCAATTTTATTACTGTGTAGATAATGCATTCGTGCTTTGATAATTTCTAAACTCCTCACCATCTACACCCTCAGACAAAACAAGATAACTGAACGTGTTAACATATGTGACTGCTGGCCATTGTTTTATATCACCAATCCAGGTTGTGGCGCTGGTCAGCTTCGTAGGATGAGGAACAAAGTTATGTCGTTTACGGTCTTTGTTAAATAGTCTTGATCGTGCTGCCACTGTGAACTAATATTGCCATTGCTTGTTGACATTATGGACATTAAAAAGTAAAACCGATTATTACCATAGTTTCAGAGCTGTCCAAATAACTAAACACACCAAGCTGCGATCCGGAAGTTCGGAGCATCCTCCCTGCACATACTCGCAAAACATAATGGGTAATTTCGCATTCCATGAAAAAGGTCTATAGGCTAGCCTGATGTTCCCTTTTTATGTTCTCATTTGAAAAACCCAAATCAGAAAAAAAGTATTTTATGTTGCACTTTAAAAAAGGTTGTTATTAGCCTAATTAATAGTTAAATAATATTCATGATAATTTGCTGTTACAAACGATGAATTATTCAAAATTTCAACAAGTTGCATTTGGAGGAGTGCGTATTTTTGATTTTTCAAAAATAAATCGTGGAGCATTTTTCAGGTAAAAATCCACGGACTTTTACCTGAAAAACAATGTCTAAAGAATTAGGAATTAAACCGAAGTTTAGCACAACTCACCAGAACTAAGCAATGTTGGGGCATGTTGATTTAATTTATCATGTGAGTGAGTCGAGCTGACGAGCGAGGTGAGAAAGACAAGAAGTTAGCGAAAGATTTAGTTGTTTCGAAACAAAATACAAAAGCATCTGCTTTAAAAATATTTTAGACTTTGGAAGGCGTTTTTCCACTTTTGCTATTTATCTAAGATGATTTTGGAAGCTTTTTTTAACATTCGGTTCTTATTTATTTGGTGCTGATTTTCAGTATTTTTATATTTAAACTTTGCAAGTTATTTGTTATTTTATATTAGGGCTATAGCATGGTGTATTTGTATTCGTTTTGTTAATAAATTAAACATTCTATGTTTAATATAAGTGAGATTGTCGTACTGTTTTGTTGTTGTCAATTCAATCAATTGATACCGAATTGCCGCTAATTTGAAAGTGAAAGTAAAATGCGCACAGGCATTTACAAGCTATTTAAAAGCAAATAAAAGCGAGGAAAAGAGGGAAAACTAACAAACTGCCTCACCGTCACAACCCTACTGCAGTAGTGTGGTTTTGTTTGGGGATGGGAGAGGCAGACGTCACGTTGCCTGTTATGTCATTTGGATTGCTTTTTTGAGCGCAGTGGCACTGAGAACATTATATTTCACACACTTTAAGCTCTTTTATTTTCCAAATGTAACAGGATTAGTCCATCGAATCGTTCGGTACATAATGCGTACCGAACCGAAAGCCTCGTACCGAACGGATCAATACGAATATGTGTATCGTTACACCCCTTATATATATATATATGTGTGTGACCCTGGACCACAAAACCAGCCTTAAGTCGCTTGGGTATATTTTTAGCAATAGCCACAAAACAAAGTTATACATTTTTCTTTTATGCCAAAAATCATTAGGATATTAAGTAAAGATCATGTTCCATGAAGATATTT